CGCAGTTAAAACAGAGTCGTTCCTTGAATTGTCTGTCTTTCTTAGGGTCACGGGGTCGTCCAGGTTTGAACGTGGCATCGAGTTCCATTGGGTCCGACCAACGGTTGTCTCGCGGGTGTTGATCCCGTCGTCTGCCCTCGTTTCCCCGGTAGGGGTAACTTTTCTTGGGCTTGTCATAGGTCCGCGTTCCTTCTGGAATTCGTATAGTCGATTGTCAATTCGGACCATATGTTCGATTAGCGCTACCATGTCCGTTGGTTGTTGTTCCAAACGGGCAAGTTCCATATGTATATGGCTCTTCAGCCCACGTCGGTAGTGGCTGATGAGTGCGCTGGCGTCCCATCCTGTCTGATTGCTGTATCTCTGGAATTCTGTGGAGTACGTGAGGGCGCTGCCAGTCTGCTTAAGTGCAAACAGATGGTCTTCCGCGGTCTTAATCTCATCGATGTCTCCGAACATGCGTCGGATTTCCTTACAGAATCCTTTCCAGCTGCCAAACATAGTCTGCGTAGTTGCCATGCTTCCATTGGTACTCTCATATTTGAAATAATCCTTGAGGAATGGTTCGATCCATCGCAGGGCTTCCCCCCTAAGGTAGGACGCAGTCCACAGGGCATAGCTCTCCTGGGTGGGAAACTTCTCGTCATTGAAGTGCTGGTACAGTTCGACCTGTAGCAAAAACACCTCAAGTTCCTTTCGGTTGCCGGAGTAAGTGTCGGGCAACTTGACGCGTAGAGTTTCCTTGAGTTCGTTGACGGTGGGTGCGTCGGGCATCTCCTCATTCTCAGGCTTAGACCTCTGAGACGAAGTTGGCGTGGTGGGGGTTTTCCCCTTCGAACTGACGACAGACATGTTGCTTTGTGTATAAGCCAGTGCCTCGTAGAAGTGGTGCTCAAAGTGTAACGCTGACTTCTAAACGATAGAAGACACAGAGGTTCTCTTGCGTAAAGGTTTACTTATCAGAGGAGGCAGGGGATCAGACACAAAGGCTTCAAGTAACACGTTACTAGTATATAACAAATACTGTATTGAGTTGAGCACGAAGCTCCTATCTAAGGAAATACTATCTACTTATATAGTGGCGTCGTGCCTAGTGGACTCCTGGGAACTCACTCGAGTCCTCGGAGTCCTGGACTCTTAGGATTCTTCTCATCATCCTGCGAGTCCGTCACATGCCTAGTGGACTCCTGGGAACTCACTCGAGTCCTCGGAGTCCTGGACTCTTAGGACTCTTCTCATCATCCTGCGAGTCCGTCACGTGATACTTTCGGAACTACTATTCCCCGCTGCCCCTCCAGGTACCAGGGCCGGTCTCATGCGACCTCCCTCCTTCCTGTCCTGTAGTTGGCCAGCCTTCTTGTTCCGTCGTAACATGATGACAATACTAATGACAACAATACTAACAACAACAATGATACTAAGCTGCCACCTCTACAAGCACTATTTACACTGTCGAATATACAAGAAGACTGAAGAAGCGGAAAAAGAGTTAAGAGGAGGATATACTACAAGGGAAAGGAAAGACTCAGGCTTTAAGCCCTAATGAGTATATTATACTGTTGAAAATCTGCCTCTAGATAGCAGACATATATCGAATGGCAGAGGCAGCAACGTTCTTTAAGAATGTTACTGCTGATTGCTAACATGAGACTAGCAAAGAGCATAATACTCTTCGCTAGGTTTTACATAGGAATATTACCTCTTAGCGGAAATATGTCTAAGATCTTAGAACTAGCAAGTAAGACGGCTGAACAGAACAGCAACTATATAAGGACAACTAGATAGCTGTCTTCGATGCTAAAGCAACAGTTATCTAGGAGCAGAAGGAGCACTAGGGTGCTATAGGGGTGAGAGGTGAGGCTTCTTTCCTCGCTCAGGTAGCAATGCTTCTTATAATGAAGGAGAAGTAGGTATCAACCTTCCATTACCCTTACCGTAGGACCCCCTCCTAGCGCTCCAAGCATAGCAATTAGTCCTTCACCACATCCATCTTCTTCTTTTTGGCGATCCTGAAAGCGCTAATACATAGCAGCAGAAGATGATCGAGAAGAGCGACTCTTCTTAATGATAGAGGGGCTTGTAAAAGCCATAGCTATGCTGCCACCACCTCTAAATCCAGAGGTATTAGAGGAGCATTTAGAAAGCCAGCTTAAGGCTTAGGAAGAGCGGCTTTAAGCTGGAATTGCTATCTAGTTTAAGGATCTTCGAAGAGAACAGTTAATGTTGTTCTCTTCATTTATATAGCAATTACAGACAGGTATGGGCTAAGGGGGTTAATTACTATATAGCTAACATAGTCCATATGCAAGTGAAACAGCTAAGCGATTGAAACACTGCATTTTACACCAAAAATCACAAATTTCGTAACCTACTATCTCAACAACCCTTTAATAGTAAGTTATAAAAATATAATATTAGCTTTTTATAAGAATTTAAAGTACTCTGCTTGATTTTCAAAGCAATTGGCATTATAGTTGCTAAAGATATTGAGTTTTAGCCCCTACTTTTAACCTAATTCTTAGTATTTCAATAACTGCTAAGCCAATTGCTTTAAAAATCAAGTAGAGTACTTTAAATGCTTATAAAAAGCTAAAATTATATTTTTATAACTTATTATTAAATGGTTGTTAAGATAGTAGGTTACGAAATTTGTGATTTTTGGTGTAAAATTGTAAGGATGCCTCCTTACCTAGATACTCGAAGAACCTGTCTCAGAACTGTTACGGTCACTACAAGCATGAAATCTGACTCGGTGTGGTTTCGAACCAGTAGAGGAGCACATAGCGAGTTACACTATAGTGGGGAACAGTGGGGTGTAGGGTTCAGGGTCGATGCTGACCTGTTGCGGTGGAAGGTTCAGGGCTAGGGTTGGGATAACCGAGTCGGGCCCGTTTTAGGTACTTAAGGAAACAGACTCAACGGGGTCCCCCCTTCATCTTTTTTGTATCCTTCGCAGTAGACCTATAGGATAGCATCAGTTTAGCCTCTGACTCGCACTCTCATATGCTATTACTGTGAGCTGGGTGCCCTGTGTCCTTACAAAAATGCAGTGTTTCACTCGCTTGGGTGTTTCACTCGCATATGGACTACGTTATCTATTTGTCATACTGACATTCGTTGCACTCAGTTTGCTAAAATCATCCCTTTCCCTGGGTGGCTAGATTCTCACATCTGGTGCACCCACCATTACACCTTTGTGTTTAATCCCCTGCCTCCTGTGTTAAGTCAGCCTTACATAAGAAAGCTCTGTGTCTTCTATCGTTTAGAAGTCAGCATTACAGTGTGCTGTAACCTAGTAATGATATATGATATTGTCAAGTTGAAGGAGGGGTAAGAGCTGCTAGATCTCTTTAATTAAGAAGCTATATAGATTAGTATAGTACATAATAAAAGGGGCTTCCTTACTGTAGATATGCTTTACCGTAACAGGTGAATCCTAACCCTACACATCAAGACTCTACTTAAGCGGCAGCTGGTATAGACGCTATAATACCCTAATATGAAGCTGCTAGCAGTGATGACGTAGCTGCAAAAGGAGTATACTAGTAGCTACTATAGCTACTAGTAACTGCTGCCTATAAATTGGCATTTCTAGCGTGGTATTTAAGGCTATTCACAATATGACAATTTGGTTTTAGTTAATATAGAACAGAGAGGTACTTTACGAAAATACAATTATTATGTCTTTTTACAGTAGAATCCGTTAACTGCATATCCTAGTTAAATCACATATACACAGTCAAACCCATCACTAAGAGGCACTTAGGGGGTATTATAGTATTCTTATATTACTACTTTAGACCTAGCTAATACTATCTACTAGGGTCTACAATTACTATCGCTAATGAAGCCTAGGCTGCCATATAGTGGCTTGAGGATCGAGGGGCGATAGTCCTTGCAGCCTGGGTGTTGCGTTTTGCACTGTCTTGGCCAGCCATAGATGAGGTTGTGGAATTCATCGGTGTTTGCAGCGGCTAGGTGGTTCTCGCAGTTCTGATTTTTGGCCAAGGGGAAGGAGCCCCTATTTATTGTTTGAGGGGTCTTGTATTATATGGACAGCTGGTGGACTTTAACAGAACTAACCTTCAAGAGTAAACAGCTCCACTACACGCTCAACCGGGGGATAAAATGCCGTGGTGGGATAATCAGGACCAGACACCCATCCTCCCTTGTTAAAACCTATCATATAGCGTCAGTCTACGATATAACCATCTTCACCCCCAGAAACTCAACGGAATTACCCTCTTCCGCGCACAGTTTGCGCGACATATCCTCCGATCCCGGATCAAAAGTATGGCAAACCTGTGAATCCCCAAACAACCTCACATGCACCAATGTAATTCTCTGTGCTGATCGACTCATACAGCAAGTGGCATGCAGGACAGCCCGTTTTCGCGCCGTGAACAAGTGAAGCGGCTGAGATGCGGATTAGCCATCCTGAAGACCCCGGCAGTACTGGCAGTCTCTGTTTTCTTTCTTCCAGAACAGTCGCCGGAGTCGATCCATTGTGGTGGACGGATTCTGTTCTACCTAGCTCGGGCAAGAGAATATAAGAAGGGGGGGCTGAGTGACAGACGTTAGAGTCGGTGGTCCGAGCTTTGAAACCTCTTATGCAGGTCGTCTTGCCAAAATTTCTGAAGGAGAGACGGTGCATTACAGTCCCTAGGAAGCAAGAAACAGCTAACAACCCCTATCGTTGCTTTAGGTATTTGCAGCGACTATACGTGGATATGAGGGTCTTAAATACTGTGGTCGCCTTTCAAGGAGCTAGTTTCTTAGAAATTGGGTCAAAGGGGAAGGTTCTGTTAAATTCAAATGTAGATGTCAGTTTTCAGTTGAGCGTAGGTCGTTATTCAGGCTCTGTGGCTACACGAGGTATTGTTAGCGCCTATAGAGTGAATCAAATCCAACAGCATCCCTCCTCACAAACCACAGCATAAGAGTATATATATCACAATCCATCATCAAAATAAAGTTCAGCATGGGAATGTCATTCATTTCATCTCCCATCTCTTCCGCAATCCCAACATTAAGCAACCCCCGCCCAATCTACCCATCTAATTCTAAAACGCCAAACATTTTTGTGCAGAAACAAACAACAAAAGAAACATGCGTCTCGAGGCCGCCGGATATCGAAAGTCTATATCATCATGGAAAACCCAAAAAACTGTAGTAGTTTGTTTAAAGGCGGCCCGCGTCCCCACCACCCGCACCGCATCCCACCCACACCGCCGTCGCCGAACGTCACGTGGCAGATGTACCACCGCTTCAACAACAAAAATAAAACTTCAAAATATCCAAATCGGCGAGGTTTTTTTTAGATTTCTAGGCCTCATCGTCCGTATCAGGATATCTTGGAGTCCCCTTAGGACTGGAAAGCCACTCAATGTGCCGCAGACGTCTGCGGACCTCTCTGTCCTTGAGATCCTTCTTGGTCATCTTCTTCTTCTTGCGAGCACGGAAAGTCATATCTCCCGTATCCTCCGCGCCACTGTTAGCGGTGCTAGGAGCGGCACTGGAGACGGCACTGCTCGCCATGGAGGCGACGGTGCTGGGGATGCCGCTGCCGGGGCGAGAATCCTCGAAGCGATCGGCCGAGACGGCGAGGTGACCCTTGTGCGTCACGCGACCGTCAGCGACGTACCACTGCTCTGGGCAGAGCGCGCCAACAAACTCCTCGTTATGGGAGATCATGACGACACCACCCTTGTAGTCGCGGATAGCAACAGCGAGGCCACCGAGGGAGTCACGGTCCAGGAAATTGGTCGGCTCATCGAGGACGAGGAGATGGGGGTTGTTCCACATAGCGCCAGCGAGTACGACCTTGACTTTTTGGCCGCCGGAGAGGCCAGAGATCTCGTTGTGGTTGGCGATTTCGGGGTCGAGGCCGAGGTCTTCGAAGTGCTTGGAGATGACTTTGGGGGAGAGCTCGCGGAAACCGAGACCTTCGCGGGAGGCCTCGTGGTCGTCGAATTCTTGGACGAGCTTGGAGAAGCCGCGGTCGACGAGGGTTTCGCGGGAGATCTGGGTGTTGTCTTTGGGGAGCATGAACTTCCACTTACTAGGCGGTTGTTAGGATGATATACAGTGAGTGAAAGGGTGAGGGTGCTTACACTTCGTATTGGAAGGTCTTCTTCCACTTCTGACGACCCATGATGGACTCGATCAGTCGTCCTCCGCGTCCGTCACCAAGGTCAATCTCAACCTTCATCTGCTCCTTGTCGGCATCGGAGAGGATACGGGTCTGCTTCATGTGGACCTCGCGATCATCACCGTTGGCGTAACGCCACTGGAGGTACTGGTTGGGGGTCTTCTCGAGATGCATCTCCACGTGCTCGAGGGCGTGCTGCTTGATGTAACCAATACGCAAGTTGGGGTGCTTCTCGACACGACCAGTGGTTGGGATGGTCTCGCCAGTCAGAAGCTTAATGAGAGTGGACTTTCCGGCACCGTTGCCACCGATGATGGCTGTGCGGGAAGAGAGAGACAGGGAGCAGGAAACGTCGTGGAGAGACGGCTTGGTGCTTCCTGGGTAGGTGTAGGAGCAGTTGGTCATGCGGAGGATGGAGCGGGTGTTGGACTTGACACCGGTCAAGATACCAGGAGGTGGGAACTTGAATTGCGCGTTCGAGGCGGAGAGGGTGTAGTAGCTCTTAGCCTCGGGCTTCTGCTTGACGAATTCAGCCAAGTTACCCTTGTAGCATGCAAGCTTCTTTCCAGGCTCGTAGTGGTAGATATCCGTGCAGACTTCATCGAGGAAGCCGGAGTCGTGAGAAACGATCAGGGAAGTGATCTCGGTGTGAGTTTTCAGGTAATCCTGGAGCCACTTGACGTTGGCAACATCCAAGTGATTGGTAGGTTCGTCCAGAAGGAGAACATCGGCCTTCATCAACATAGCTCTGGCAAGAGCGAGCTTCATCTTCCATCCACCGGATAGCGAGCCAACCTTCTCGGACTGGCGACCCTCGGGGCCGGCAGTGAAGCCGACCTCGGCAAGAACCTCAGAGATACGCTCCATACCAGCGGACGCGATGGCAGGATCCTTGGCAACGAAGTTCAGAATGCTGATATCAGCATCCTCACCCTGGTTGTGCTCGACGAAGCAAGTACGGAGGACATCCTGGCTGGGGAAGCCCTCAAGCTTGCCGTTGGAGATTGCACGCATGAGAGTAGACTTTCCGGCACCGTTACGTCCGCAAAGACCGTATCTGTGGCCCTTGAGGAGACGGAGGTTGGTATGGGAGAGTAACAGCATACCACCGTAGGCAAGGGAAAAGTCGGCGTTGACAATCTCAATCTCTCCATCGTCCTCCTTGACCGGCTTACCGTACTTGCGGTGGTCCTCCTCGACGTAGAAGTTCTGGACGGCGTCACCAACGGTAGCGGCTGCCTCGGAGGTCTTCAAGACCTGGGGCAGGTATGGGGTAACTCTGGCTGCGATACGGGGAGTCTGGCGGTGGTTGGCATCCTCGGCCACCATGGCGCCGATGTATGGGCCAAGGAGCTTGAAGATGGCACTGGCGTCGCCAGCAAGACCTCCTGCCTTTGCGATCTCGGCATCGAGAACCTTGGTGACGTCGTCGATGGTGACGCGGGCAACCTCTCCGTGGGATGCTCCGGAGACATCATCACCCATGGCCTTCTTGATGACGTTAAGGGCTCTGGTGGCCATGTCACGGACCTCGGGAAGAGATGCTCTGTCCTGGACGCCCTTAACACCGGGAAGGAGCTTTGGCAAGAAAGTACGAGCCTCAACAGGGTCGTGGACAAGCTTTGTCAAGTTCTCCACGACGACAACGGTCTGTCTGAGGACCTCCTGTGCAGTGGTAGGTGTGTTGAGGGAACGCTCGAGGAGAGGGGTGAGGAGAGCCAGGACGGGGGAGGTGACGATAGCGACGAAGGTGGTTTGCGACAGGGCGTGGATGGCCTTCTGCAGCGTCTCGGTGGAGGGGTTCTTCATGGTCGCAACGAGGAGTGGGATGCGAGGGGCAACATCGTCGTTGGAAAGGAGGGTGGTAAGGGAGTTCATGGTGTTGATGGCGGCCTTCTCGACCTCAGTCTTCAAGTCGTGCATTCCTTCCTCGACAATCGGGATAAGACCAGCAAGCTTGGATCCCAGGGAGTCGCGGAGCATGTCCTTGTCATTTGCCTCCTCCTTGGTGGTGCCAGCCTCAAGCTTGGCCTTGTCGGCGATGCGCTGGAGAAGCTTGTAGGCACCAACTGTGCCTTGCCACTTGCCGGTGCGCTTGGAGAGGTACAGGGAGAGAACAGGGAGGAGTGCAATAACAAGAGCCTCGGAGCTCAAGAGGACAAAGAGAGCGTCAAGCGCATACTGCGCGGCATCTCTCACCACAGCGCCCTTGTCGGCGAGGGCGTCGAGGGCGCAGGGGATGAGACCGCCATCTTGTATGATAAAGACAACCTCGGTGATCGGCTGTGGGGTAGGGAAACGCTCAAAGAGGGCACCGAGTAGGTTCTGGGCGCTCTCACGCTTCAGTCCGCTCTTCTTGTCCGCTGCGGCCTTCTTGATCTCGGCAACGATGCCGTAGGCGTGGAGGCCACGGTACCCGACGGAGTTGAGGAGGATTTGTGTGAGGGCATAGGAAGCGTCGACGGAGGCGGCGGAGGAGTCGGCAGTGAAGATGGTGTTGAGAAGGGAGGAGATCTCCTCTTGGGTAGGCGCCACGGTGGACGGGACGTCAGATTTGATAAGCATAGTGGGCTGTGGTCGGGTGGGAGAGACTGGATGCGGCATTATTTGAGCGCTTTCGGCGCTCTGTGAAATCGGACAACGGGTGTCTTGATTATTGGATTGTATATCTGTCAGTCGTGCAATAAATCGTAAATTCGCTCGTAATTATCCTGAAAGTGGGCGTCTTGGCCGAAAAAAAAACTCAAAAACGTGGCCGGGCTGGGGCAAAAAAAGATTTGAGAGTGGAGATTTTCTGACGGAGCAGAGGGGTAAAAGGTAGGAAGAAGACGGCGAGGAGTTCTGTATATATATATCTCAGCCGCGAGTGGCTAGAGAAGGGTGGAATAAGAGTAGGAGAGAGAGTCTCCGAGTCTTATTTTTTGCTTTCCTGAAGTCGTTGGGGGGTGGAGGGAGGAAGAAGAGGTTCAAGATGAAAATGAGGGAGGGGGGGGAAGTGGCGGCATAATAGCACAGATCTGTTTCGATAGCAATTTTTTAGGGCCGGTTAGGCCGTATCAGTGGTAATCAGGTACGTATCGGGGCCTTATCCATCCACTACCCATAGTACTCCGTAAAAATCTCTCGTTCCTACTTTTTCTGTCACCGCCTTACACCGCCTTACACCGCCTTACCAATGGGTTCTAGCACGTGCAAGTTTTAGTTAATTTCACGTGATTATAGTGGTTATAATTACTCGAGTACGGATATAGTAAGTTAATGCTTATAATCACGTGCCGCCCACAGTCCCCACCAAAATTCCCCCCACGACAAGCTTCCTGTGCACTCTTGTACGCTCTTCTGAAGTGCTTAGTCTCATTTTTATGACTATCACGCAAGGCAAGTATGACTGATCTGCAAAATATTTCCATGTGGCTGGAAATATATATATCTACCATATCTATTCTATATATTTCTATATCATGATCATTCCCTGACCATTGGAAAGTCCAGTGATATTGACAAGACGCCCATTGACACCAATTGACCTCAAGTGCCACCCAGGGACGACGCCATGGCTTCAACTGATCCCCGACAACCCTCTCTCATATCGGCCACCCTCCCAGGCGAAACCACCCCCGATGTCGCCGACGCCGAGAAGCAGTCTCCCAAGGCCCGCTCCTCGTGGCTCACAGAGCTCAAACGCGATGTCAACCTGAACCACACCGACATCCCCGTCATCGCATCCTGCTTCTCCTCCGGCCTCTGCGACAGCAGCGCCTTCAACGCCTGGAACACCTTCGTGAGCATGCAAACCGGTATGGCCCCCCCCCCCCACCCCACCATACCTCCTTACCATCCCAGTCATCCGAGAATCTTCTAACTCCCTCCCCCTCCAGGTAACACCATCATCCTCGCCCTCGGCGCCTCCGGCCAACCCGTCTCGCAGCCCTACATCTGGCTCAAGTCCCTGACAGCCATCGTTTTCTTCCTCGTCGGCTGCTACTTCTTCGCGCAGTCGCGACGCATACATCCCCACCGCCGATTCACGCTCGCAGCCTCCTTCCTCGTCCAAGCGATCCTGATCTTCGTCGCCGCAGCGCTGGTACAGCGACACGTCGTGCCCTCGCCAGCTGGATACCACGAGCTCGACCACGGGCGGGTAGCGTTTATCGAATTACTCCCCATTGGCTTCTTGGCGTTCCAGAGCGGGGGACAGATTGTGACGAGTCGGACGTTGGGGATTAATGAGGTGCCGACGACGGTGTTGACGAGTTTGTTCTGTGATTTGATGAGTGATCCGCATATGCTGGCGAGGGATAATGTGAAGAGGAATCGAAGGGTGGCGTCGGCGGTGACGCTGTTGATGGGGGGCATTATTGGGGGGTGGTTGAGTAGGAGTAGTGTGGGGATGTCGGCGGCGCTGTGGTTGGCGGGGGGGGTTAAGGTTGCGATTGCGGTGGGGTGGGCGCTGTGGAAGGCGAAGGATGAGGTTTCGGTTTGAGGGGAGGGTATTTCGGTTTGATAAAAAAGTCTTCCAGTTTGATGAGAGAGAATTCCGGGGTGAAGGGAGAATAGAGCGATATATCCATACCCTTAATTATAGACGGCATTAGACGAATCGACCCTGGACGTTTTCTATCTTCTATCTTCTTCATGGCTCTCGTCGTTTCTTTGCGTTCTGTGGGCAAGTGTCCCCTATTCGATGTTTATTGTGTCGATGGGTCCTTCATGTCCTTCATTGTAATGGGTCCTTCATGTTGATGCTCATCAAGTAGGTGAGTTTATCCCACCGTGAGTTTCTTCTACCAAAAGTTCAAAAAAGCAAATCTCACCTCATCGGGAGTTCCTTCCATCTAAAGTCAAAAAAGCAAAAGACTCGTCAGATCTCGGGATCTGATGAGAGAGAAAATCAACTTTGTGATTTTACTTTTTGTCGTTATGTTATGTTGTCGTGTTGATCGCTCGTTTCCATATTTCCTTTCCTCGCCGGGACTCGAATCCATAACCTCCCTTATCCTCCGCTGGCCAGATTGTCCAGACAGTGGTACTACCACTGCGCCACTGTGCCGCTGGGAGGTGAGGGGTTAAGTTGGTTTATAAGAGGGGGGTTGTCTTCGCTTGGTGGTTGGGGGGTGTGATGTGATGCAGGATGCGGATGCGGATGAGGATGCGGATGGATTTGGCAGGGGTAAGCATGGAATGCACACAAAGCCATCATTCGTCGAGGCTCGAATACGCACATAGGGATTCATTGTTCTATGAGGCTCAAGTGCACACAAGGCCATTCAAAGCCATTCGTTGTTCAACAACACACGAATACAGATAAAGACTTCGTTGCCACTTATTCCATTGTTCACCTCCTTGGTCTCATGGAAATTCTTTATATCCGAACTGCAGGACTATTGTTCATCATCAAACCCTCATCACCGCTACATTCAATCCAATCCTCGTTTCAAGATGACAATGCTCATTCATCATGGCCCTATAAGTATCCTCACTTCGTCCCTCACCAGACTCCTTTTCTCTCCAGACCATTCTTCACTTGATTTACCTGGCGTAGATCACTCAGCGCAGCAACAACAGGATTAGTCTCAACACTCTCAACACCATTCCCACTTTCACCACCTTCACCACGCTCACCACCACACCCCCGACAAGATGTGCGTCACAACCGACACAGTCCACGAGGCCTGCCGGCACGTCATCAGCATCACCTCCCCCTGTTTCGCAGTCCGCCACCCCAGCATCCCCTTCACCCGCTGCAAGCGCTCCTCCATCCTCCACGCCCCCCCCACCCTCTGCCCCTCCTGCGCCGCCGTCTTTGCCGAGGCCCACATCGACAGTTTCTCCGGCGCCAAACTAGCCAACCAATTCCGGCGCCGCGAGAACTACGGCGGTGTGCTGATACCTAGCCTCGGCCAGCATGGTATCATGATGATGGACCGCGACGGCAACGTTTTCGAGCGTGTCATCCCGAGGGGCTCATCGTGGTTCACCGAGACGGTTGGGGATAGGGAGGCGGAGAGTTCGGGTGCTCGCCCGAGGAGGTCGGAGCTGCAGCTGAGGGAGTCGGAGAGCTTGAGGCAGATGATGAGGCCGGGGTCTCCTAGGCCTCGGAGAGATTCGAGGGGTCCTCAGCCTCCTAGGTCTCCGAGAGAGTCGAGGGCTCCTCAGCCTCCTTGGTTTCCAAGAGATTCGCTAGATCGTCCGCCTCCTAGGTCTCCGAGGTCTCCGATGGGTCCTCAGCCTCCTAGACAGACGACGAGACCTGGGCCGCCCAGAGATCCGAGAGATCAGAGTGATCAGAGTGATCAGAGAGATCAGAGAGATCCTCCATTTTCTAGGCAGACGAGGAGGGGGGGCTACAGTCGCTTGGAGGACAGACATAGCAGTATGTTCTAGATCTGGTAAGTCATTACCCCCATTTCTCTTTCTTTCTCTTTCCCCTTCCCCCCAACCTCAAAAAAGGTATGTAGGTATTTAAGGTAGGTGCGGTACATGGTATCCATGTATCTTCTTTAGGCAATTCAAAATACTTACTCCAATCATGCTTATCTAATTCTAAATCGTGAACTTGGATATTTCTTCTTGGCTTTAACAGTGTTCGGCACGGATCGTATATGACCTGAGCTGATCCGGATACTGATCCGGATATATCCTATCCGTCAGGCCTACGACCTATCCTTGCGATATGAGGATATATCCGGGTCATGAGGATATTGCCAAGAGTAGCCAAGAGTAGTCAAGGCCACACAAATGCTATCGTGTAAATCTATAATACTAGTTCAAATACTATCATAAATGTGACGATTGTGGTAAAAATGAGTGACTCCGAGTTATCAGTTTTGCCATCAGATCATGAGAGCTATTCTCAAATAGAAGAGCTATCGTTACCACCTCTCCCACCTCAATCTACCCCTATTCAGCCCTCAATTGAAGTATCTGTTAATCTACCTCGATATCCAAAGGTAGTACTACCACCAACAACATCAAAGCTATTTACGAAGGGCCTATATCGTCGAGAATTGCTTGATACTCAGCCTCCAACCGTAAAGATGATATGCCTACAACCAGGCTGTGGATATTCACTACCGCCACAAGGATTAAAGCAATCATCGACAGGCAATCTTGAGGCATTATTCTTTAAAGCATCTAGCGATATCATACGCCCTTAAAAATGATAATAGACAGTCGTCTAGTGCATCAACTAGTACATCGTCGTTCTTCAACCCACGCCTATCAGCTCTACCAATGCAACCTGATAATCCTCCAAAGTATAGAGAGTTATTACTCTAGTTTATCATGTCAAATAATCTATTAATACGACTTGTTGAAAGCTATTCATTTCGTGAATTAGTCCAATTTATAAGCCTAATGACTACAACAATATCAGCATGTATGTTACACTGAGAACTATAGCGCTAATTCTCATATCACTGAGGCTAGCTACAAATCGAGCTCTATTCTCATATTAAGAGAGGAGGCCGGATATCAATAACAACGGATGTATGGTCTACACGGAAGTATACAGATTACACTGCCATTACTATGCACTAGATTAACGATAAATGGCAACAGAAATCTAAAGTGCTTGATGTCGTACATCGTAAAGAGCCTATCTATAGTAGTGAATATTTAGCTTAACAATTAGCAATCGTAACAGATGATATAGGTATTACAGGAGCTATCTTCACCTGTATAAGGGACAATGCCTTAGCTAATACTGTTATGCTTACAGAATATGAGAAATTGGCTCGAGACCAAGAAGTTACAACGTAACAACCCTGGACATTTAGAGTTAAGGAAGGAGACGTACAATGTATAGCCCATATCATTAATATTGCTGTTTAAGATGCTATTAAGACTTTAAAAGCAGCTCCTGCTAAGCAGGCTAAGAGTTATCGATATGAGCAAGGAGCTACATGGATTCCAGTAAGCTTTGATAGTAATATTGAAGTTAAGAATACTTTAGGTAAGCTACAAAGACATGTTTATGTGTTTAGAAATCGAAGGCAATGGAAGGATGCTCTTTAAAAGCAGACTGTTACGATATCAAGTGCGCCTTGCAGCTCGAGTGGGGGTTCAGGGGTGTGGGGAGCTTTCCGGGGTTGGAGCGAAGTTTTCAGTTGTGGAGTGAATTCTCAGAACTGGTCTCGCTAAAGAGAATTCACTCCACAATAGCTGTATATAGATCGAGCCACTGCTCGAGTGCTCCTCTTCTCTTTCCTTTCTTCTCTAGATTGAGTTTAATTCATAATACCCAACTGGCGCCCTATGCCTTGGTGAACCGTGACACAGACTATAGCAGCTAGTCTTAAGAAGCTACAACTATCACTTGATATGCCAGTCTAGTGGAATTCAACATAGGAAATGGTTTCAACAGTCATTAAGCTACAAACACCGATTATACTGTGCTACTTAGCAATGGATCTAAGTATGAGGGATATTGCTCCTACACTAGAGGATTGGATAATACATCACGCCCTTTAGAATTTCTTCTATATATTTGTGAAGCCTTTTGTAATGGTAGGTGCACCAGATGTGAGAATCTAGCCACCCAAGGAAAGGGATGATTTTACTAAGACAGCATATGTCTCAGGAAACAGAGCCAAAGGGTTGTAGCTTAGACTATTCCACAATGCAGCAATCAAGCGTATGATGTAGTGGAGTGGTTTAGACAAGTTGTAACAAATGTTGAGTCTGAGAACTCAGGGATAAGTCAGAGGTTAGCACCTCACTAACTTTTCAGAAACAAGGAGTAACAAGATCAATGCTTGGAAGCTTGGAAAAGATGTAGAAGTATGTGATAGCTGATTTACTGTATTGTCTGCTTGCCCTTTCTTAAGGAAAGGGCAATCCTATTTATGCTAAAGGAGTGTAGTTCTCTCATTTTCCAAGACTTTCCATGACTAACCAGGCTTGGTAACTGTAGTCAATGTAAGATAATCCCATAGAACCATCTCCTAGGTTCCTAGCCTATAGGAAGTGAAAGGAGGTCCAAGGTCAGAGTACCCCTATAGACAAATTATGTCATAACTTAACCAATCTTGTGGGTAACTAAGGAGCGATGACGTGTAATGAATCATAGAGGGTTGTAGCAATCGTTGAGTAGTATTGCTCTTGTTGTTGGTGTGATAAGCCAAAATATGTATAGTGACTTGTAGGTTTGAGGAGGTTGGTATATCATTGACAATTGGCCTAGCTTGTGTTGCTACACATAAGAAGATTAATGAGTACTATACACTTGCTATAAATCAATAATGGAGTCATTTAGGGGTAGTGTAACAGGTGCCAGCCATTACAGTGCATATGGTATATATAGCACGTTACGTGTATTCTGCTAAGCTAGAATACTATAGTCTTTTTGGCTTAGTGGGATGTAAGCACAAGCATAACCGTACATCATTATAAGAGTATTCCAGCTTAACGGTTAATAGGTTTTTGATTGGTTCGCTTTAGCTTTAGCTAAGCGAGCTACTATAATCAATTAGTCTCCTTACCTTCTTAGGGGCTTAAGCTATATATATAATACACCCTAGCATCCTAAGTAGTAATGAGGCCTTAGGAGCATGGGGTTATAAGTGATTACTATAGCGTGGTAGATATAGCCTCTATAATCATGCTAGGATGTCATAGGCTAGAAGGGGGGTGTTACGACGGAACAAGAAGGCTGGCCAACTACAGGACAGGAAGGAGGGAGGTCGCATGAGACCGGCCCTGGTACCTGGAGGGGCAGCGGGGAATAGTAGTTCCGAAAGTATCACGTGATGGACTCGCAGGATGATGAGAAGAATCCTAAGAGTCCAGGACTCCGAGGACTCGAGTGAGTTCCCAGGAGTCCACTAGGCACGACGCCACTATATAAGTAGATAGTATTTCCTTAGATAGGAGCTTCGTGCTCAACTCAATACAGTATTTGTTATATACTAGTAACGTGTTACTTGAAGCCTTTGTGTCTGATCCCCTGCCTCCTCTGATAAGTAAACCTTTACGCAAGAGAACCTCTGTGTCTTCTATCATTTAGAAGTCAGCGTTACAGGGGGGTAATTGTAACAGGTACTAACCGTTATAGTGTGTATAGTATATATAGCGTGTTATATGTGTTCTACCAAGCTGGAATACTATAGTCTTTTTGGCTTAGTGGGATGTAGCGTGAGCATAACCATACATCGTTATAGGTAGCTACAATTTACAATCTACATATGAATCTTAACGTATTTAATAGCCTGTGGATAAGCAGAGCTAAAGAAGTAAAACAGAATAGAGTTAAGCAGTAGTTTCATGATATCTTTATTTAATATAGAGACTGCTAATACTATCTTAATGAGGAGAAAAGGGAAGCTGATATTCTTACGAAGAAAAGGAATAGACTCTCTCCTAAAACACCTTGATATTTACTATGTTTAAGAGATTAGGGTCATATACTACTAGAGGTTGAAGATAGTGAAGCTAAAGGCGCTAATGACGAGGGGGAGGCCTAGGCATTTAGTTATGTATTTATTTTATCTATTTTAAGCCTTAATAACCCATATCTATCTGTCAAATGTTAACTAGATCATGATCCTATAGTGTGTTAAATAGTATGAACCTGTATACTATCAAGCACTTTTCCTGACATTATAGAGTCTAAGCGGGTCCCAAATAGGAAATTTTAGGATAAATAAACATTGTGTTACTGAGGTTATTATCATGTTAGTAGAGCAACTATCACGCATGTGCTTTATGCTAGTATGTGCATTGCTTAGTAGTATACATGCCGTATACTATCTTATACACTAGAGGGTTTTAGCAACCTAGCCATTAGACTTTTGACTAAGGCAGGGAGGATTACATTGCTCTCAGTCACCGATGGGGCGGCCAGGTGTCACTGCAGCTGAAGACTGCTACCCTCGATGACTTAAAAAATGGCATCCCCTTCTCGAGCTTCCCGAAGACGTTCCAGGACGCTATTACTGTGTGTCGTAGTCTGTTAGTAGATTATATATGGATTGACTCCATCTGCATTATACAAGACTCGAAGGACGACTGGGACATCCAGGGGTCGAAGATGGACCAAGTCTATTCTCACTGTCTTCTCACCATCGCAGCCGATGCAGCCGAGAACGGAGACTCTGGGTTCCTAGAGACGCGAGAAAGGCGAGAGCTACACAAGGCAACGAGAAAAATAGACTGCACCAGCCCCGGCGGCCAAAAGGGCGAAATCTTCGTCAGACCCTGGAGACAATACGGCAGCCTCGGCGGCTTCGGACGCCACTACAACAGCTGGGAACACGGATCCCTCCAACCCTCCCAACGACTAAAACAAAAAGGCAGCCATCTCCTCCGCCGCGGCTGGGTCCTCCAAGAAACCTTCCTCCCCGTCCGAGTCCTCCACTTCCTCCCTGATGAAGTAACATTTAAATGCACCATCTCCTCTCGCTGCGAATGCCAGCTTTTAACCCACGGCATAGTCGCCCATAGACCCCTTGATCTCGAGGAGCCGCGCGAAATCATGCCCAGAGACTTGAAGGAGTTTTAGCGTGAGGTTATTGAGCAGTATACCCAGCGCGAGTTTACGTTCCATGGACAGGCTGGCTGCTATGGCTGGGCTAGCGAACCATGTCCACGACAGACGTCCGGTCGGATGAGTTACCCTCCACGCTCCTGTGGGTCGTTGATCGCGAAGTCAACTTCGGGCGGCTGTGGGGGAATGAGAGTCATCGCAATACGCCAGGTGTAGCTCCCACCTGGTCATGGGGCAGCGTGACGGGGCGCGTGGCGTTTTTGTTCTGGCACCTGAGTTATGGGCGTGGAAAGTGGGCGGAGAGAGAACCTGATTTCACGGATGTGACGGTTAAGTGCACGCCGGTGGGGCGGAATAGGTATGGGAGTGTTATTTATGCGGAGTTGGTGGCGGAGGGGTATCTTGTGATGTCAGGGTTTGGTTGACGGGGGGGTCGGAGTGGCATTTTCCTTTTAGGATGGAGACTAAAAAGGCCGATGGGACGGTGGGGAAGACGAATGGGTTTTTTTATCCGGATACGGAGGATGTTTTGGGGGAGTTACAGGCTGGGCGGAGGGATGGGGTGGAGATGGTGGTGGTTGGTGTTTATGAGTCGAGGATGTTTCTTGTGCTGAGGAAGGTGGGGGTGGGTAAGTTGGTTTTTGAGAGGATGATTCACTACAATGAATTCGATCGGGTGGTTCTTAAAGACTGGGGACGGAAGGAGCGGTTTACGATTGTTTGAGCGCGCGCATGGGAAGGTAGAGAATGAGCTAAAAGGTGAGTCTGGGTTAGACTATAATTTTTGACGTGGGGAAAGCAATATTCCTTACACGAGCTGGTCCACGTATTCTTTAGAACCAATTTCTCTATCTAGGTATCTAGGTATCTAGGTGAAAACGATGCATTCATCAGAAACCAAAACGGAGGCGCCCGCAATCCCTTAGCCCGTTTAAAATATCCGCAAAATCGCGGCACGGTGAGAAACCAAAATGCGCAGTGACTGTCTTCCTGCATCGTTATCCAACGACCAACTCCACAATTCCCATATCCCTATCCCCGTTACTGCGTCATGTATAACAAAAACAGCATTGTCTTCTTCTCTTAAGCATCCGCAATACCAGTCCCGCGAATAGCATCCACTTGCTCACTCAACAGAGCATTGTTCTTCGGGCCAGCCCTCGCCGGTCCCTCAGGGGTAACATACGCCTTCGTCATCCCACCATCCACGACAAAGTCCTGCCCATTAATAAAGCTGCTCTCGTCGCTCGCCAGGAACAGCACCGCATGCGCCTGCTCCACGGCCTCTCCAAATCGGCCAGATGGGAAGTGCACTTCACGGCGTTGGCGCTTCTCCTTGTCGTCACCGAGCCAATCCTGAAGCAGTGGCGTGTTCAGCGGTGCCGGACAGAGTGCGTTGAATCTGTACCCGTCGCGGGCGTGCACGATAGCCAGCTCACGCGTGAGCGCTAGAACCGCGCCCTTGGATGCCGTGTAGGCGAGTTGGGGAGTGGCGGAGCCGACGAGCGCGACGACGGAGGCGGTGTTGATGATGGAGCCGGAGGCCTTGTTGTGGCGGCGCAGAGAGAGCACAGCGTGCTTGCATCCGAACCAGACGCCCTTGACGTTGATGGCTTGAGTAAGGTCCCACACAGCTTCGGGAGTGTCAACAGCGTCGGCGTCAAGCGCGTGCATGATACCGGCGTTGTTGAACATGATGTCCACGCCGCCCCAGGTGTCGAGTTGCTCGACGAGAGCTTCCACGTCGGCTTCCTTTGAGACGTCGCAGACACGGACTTCAACGCGGTGGACGGAGGGCACGAGCTGGCGCAGCTTCTCGACTGCCTTCTCAAGGGCCGTCTCGGAGATATCAGCCATGAGGACGTTGGCGCCCTCCTTGGCGAAGAGGATGGAGGTCTCTAGACCGATGCCACTGGGAAGATGTTAGTATCTACATTGTCAATGTGAGATTCGACCACGCCACTATTCTTGCCCTCTATCGTGAGTTCTCTTTGAATTCACGGGACTTGGGGTATGTAACGTGATGTCCGTTATCGGAGAAGTGCGAGACATATGTGGCAATTGCGGGGTGACATGCAGGGACAGAGAAACTGGCCAGATTGAAGGAATTTAAGAAAAATATGAAACTTACCCTGCAGCGCCGGTGACAATAGCGTTCTTATGGTGCAGTCTGCCCATCTGGATGCTGTTGATGGTGAGGCCGCTCTTGGCTGGGGGCGAGGTAGCGGCCATGATGCTCTTTGTTTTGAGGGAGAACGGATCGACGTCGCTCTTTTGATAATAAGAGTCGAAGTGATATTCTAATGGAATATAGGCTGGAAACGATTGTGATCAGTTAAGAAAAGGTTGAAGAAAACTGCGAAGAAGTAATATATATGGGGGTGTTATAATCTGACTCGCGGGTGGCGCGGGGTAAAGATAAGCATTTGATTACTTACTGTAGTTATATATTTGATGCTTTTTTTGCCACCTGGTATATTTAATGGAGAGTAGTAGGAAAAGGGAACCAAAGATGAAAAAGCAATCTGGTCTTTGTTTTGAAAGGATGAGGTTTAGTTTTAAGTGAGAGATAAACAGACTGTTTATATAGAAATATTGGTCGGCGGGGTTGGGAGGAGCTAGAGGGGACGAATGACCCCAAATGACACAAGAATTGCGGAGACATCACGTGATTCTTCAGGGGCAGAACGAGGGGCAAAAGGGCGACAGGGTGGACCAAAGGCGGTGAGGAGAAGCTTATCGGCGATCATGACGCTTCCTTGGCCAATGGACAGGACACGGGAACAAACAAATCCAGGAACAACTATATTCAACATACGATTGTTAACGCGCTTCACGATCTCTTAACAGGTGCTGTTGTTGTGAAATACTTTTGTACGCCTCATATATCTTACTTGACAAGACCACGCTTTGAAATCTGGCCTCGGAGCTATCTGTAGGCTGCAACTCACCTCGTTCACTCATCCACCTCGTCAAAACAGCTTCTCGGACACGCCGATTCTCAACGAGCAACGCATAATATGGCATATTCCCTTCCCTATCCCAGTGTTATTCCAGCGGGAACTGTGGTGACGCTCGAAAACGTCGCCCAAGTCCTCGGAAATGACACCAAGGTCAAGGTCGCCGGCATCGACGTCGACGGGCAGCTGCGGGGTAAGCTGATGTCGAAGAAGAAGTTCCTCGGTATCGCAAAAGAGGGCTTTGGCTTCTGTTCGGTGGTGTTTGGATGGGATATGCACGACAAGACGTACTTCAAGGAGCTGAAGATTAGCAATAAGGAAAATGGTTACCGCGACGTCATCGCTATTCCAGACCTCAGCACGTTTAGGCGGATACCATGGGAAGACGATGTGCCGTTCTTCCTCGTCAGCTTCTACGACCCAGATACCAAGGAACCACTTAGCGCATGTCCGCGAGGAATTTTAGACCGGCAGCTACAAAAACTGGAGGACGAGGGCATTGGCGCGATGGCAGGCGGTATGAGACCTCAACCCGCTGTTTCCCAGCAACAGTAACTGACCGCTCCTCTAGCTGAATATGAATTCTACCAATTCCGTGCACCACATAGCGGCAATGCTCCGATATCTGAGCGTAACAACTCTTCGACTGCCACCTTCCTCCAGAACAACCCAGTCGACTCCCTCCCATCCCTCACCGAAGGCATGTTTGGATACAGCTTAACGCGCCCCCTCCATAATAAAGCCTACTACTATGGCATCTTCGACGCCTGCGAGAAGTTTAACACCCACATCGAAGGTTGGCATACTGAGTCCGGCCCCGGCGTTTTCGAAGCCGCCCTCGCCTTTGGAGACATCAAAGGCATGGCCGACCGCGCTGGTCTATTTAAATACGTTGTTAAATCTATCGCTACAACCTACGGTATCACGCCCTGCTTCATGGCCAAACCCCGTCAAGGACTGCCCGGAAACAGCGGCCACATGCACATCTCCCTCGTCTCCTCCTCTGGCACCAACCTCTTCGCGCGTGACTCCACGGACCCCAACCCGCCCTACCCAGACGTCGCCAACCTCTCCGACACGGGCCGCCACTTCCTTGCCGGCATACTCGAAGGCCTCCCAGACATCATGCCCATCCTCGCACCCACAGTGAACAGCTACAAGCGCCTCGTCGAGAACTTCTGGGCCCCCGTCACCGTCTCCTGGGGCCTCGAGCACCGTGCCGCTAGCATCCGACTCATCGCCCCTCCCACCGCCAAGGCGTCTGCCACGCGCTTTGAGATCCGCGTCCCTGGTGCGGATGCGAACCCCCACTACGTGCTCGCGGCGTGTCTAGCGCTGGGATGGCGCGGTGTGACGAAGAAGCTACAGCTTACTCTGCCGCCGCTGGGGAAGGGTGAGGATGTGGGCGGTGAGTCGGATGCTGGGCAGCGGCTGGCGAAGAATTTAGGGGAAGCGACTGTGAGGTTTATGGCGAAGGATAGTTTGGCAAGGGAGGTGTTCGGGGATGAGTTTGTGGAGCATTTTGGTGGGACGAGGGAGCATGAGGTGAGGTTGTATGATGAGGCTGTCACGGATTGGTAAGTTTCCATCTGTTTGGTTGAGGGTTATGCGGTGTTTGTTATTAATATCTTACTAACATGTGCGTAGGGAGGTGAAGCGGTATATGGAGACAATATAGAGGGGAACAGCCAACTGGTCTCCCATCTCACTTTGCGTCGGCGCATTTGCACGTGAATACATCTACCTCACCTGTATTAGACGAACTATACAAAGCGAGATATACCACAATTTTACAGGCATGGATCGTTATTTATTCATGTCCCCCAGGGCCAATATTATTTTTTCATGGGAGTCAACTGTCCCATACCCGAGTATCTCGGTACACAAGTATCAAGTATTCGACAAACGGCCGATTATGCAATCCTTCGAATCCCTCTTCGACACTCCCTCAAAGGCCAATTCCTCACCGCCAAATTCCACGCCAAACCTTTCCCATTGACCAACTCCCGTGCCGTGCCGTCGTCCCCCGTCCCATCCCGGTCCGCCCTCTGCCGCCCCACGATGCCGAACACGGGTAATTTAAGCATCCAAAATTGCGTCCCAGCCAAATCTCGCGATACTTGGCGTTGATGCCGTTCTTGGCACAAACCCATTGAGGGATCGGCAATGTGGTCTTAATCATCGGGAAACCCGGGGATTTGATAGGACTAAGCGGCGTGACGGCGTTTCAAATGTCCGAGATATGGGTTTCGAAGGATTCGGGGATTGGGGTTAAGGCATTGTCCAATCAAATATCCCCATGCCGTGTCAAATATGGGGCTGATGGAAGCTATGGTGGTGATGGGACTGACATGTGGACGAACAGGGGTCAGCGGGCTTCCAGAAAAGTAACACTAATCTTAAAATGGACTAGAGACACTCCATTACCCCAAGGATTCTCTCCTTCTTCCTCAATATTACTAACCGTACTGGGGTTAGATTGCTCTACCAGTTCTGGCTCTGGTGATCTTTCGTCTTTTCTCATTTCACTCTTGGCCGCGCCTGGCTCATTTCATAACGTGCGCCGACTTTATACATGTTCCCGTCGCATCGCCGGTGGCCTCGCCCTCGCCCTCCTCTCGCGACTGACTCCATCCTCTATCTTCGCTGACCGCGTCACGAGACACCATGGCGTTCCAGGACGACTCCGGTCTAACCCTCCTCGGCCCCCTCACGACCATATTCACCCCACCTGCTACCTGCCATGACCTCACTGTCCTCTCAATCTCTACTGTCTTCAGCACCGTTATCACCCTGACAAACACTATCTCCGACGGCTCGGCCGTCTCCGTCCATACCGTCCCCACCGTCACCACTTCGACCACCGCTTACCTCGAGAAATACGACTACGTCCTCGACGGCTCCTGCTATCCCGAGGGCTACACTACCTACTCCGCCTACTACTCCCCCGGACGCTGCCCCGCCGCCTGGGAGGGCGTTGTCACCACCGCCCAGAACGGCGAGACAACCATCCAATGCTGCCCCACCTCCTTCACCTTCAGCGGCGAGCTCTGCCGCTCATCAATCACCGAAAGCACCACCACATCCGTCGTCCTCTATAAGAATGAGCTCCGCGTTGACCCCACCCCAACCGCATCTAACATCCCAGATGGAATGGTATGGGCCACGGGCATAGTCGTCCGCTACCGCGACGGCGACTTCCCTGCCACCACCTCGAAGTTCTCCTCTGCCGTCAATTCCATCGCAGCGCCCACCTCCACTCCCTCCACCCCCTCCACCCCCTCCACCCCCTCCTCCTCCGAATTTAACTCCGGCCTCTCCCTCGGCGGCAAAATCGGATTAGGTCTCGGCATCCCCGTCGCCTTCCTTTTCTTCCGCCGGCGCCGCGCTGCCACCACCCCTACCGTCGCCGGCCCTCCCCAAGCACCACCGCAAGAACAACAAGCGTACTCTCAACCCCCACATCAGCAGTACTCTCAACCTCCACCCCAGCAGTACTATCAGCCTATGGAACAAACCTTGCCTGCGGGCTACTGGGAGACTAAACCCTCTGAGATGGCACGCGCGAGCGAGATTTACACCCCGAGTGTAGCAGGGTCGCCACGCTTTAGCGGGGCGCAGAGCACGGGATATGCGCCGATTGCGCAGGTGGGGGCGTACGCGCCTGTACATGATACGGGGTATGCGCCGGGTGTAGGGTCGGGGCAGGTGGGGGCGTACGCACCTGCGCATGACATGGGGTATGCGCCGGGTGTGGGGTCGGGGCAGAAAGGGTATGGACAGGAGGCTAGGGCGCCGAGCGCGGCGCCAGCTGCGGCACCGGAATACGCAGAGCAAGCGAGCACACCGATTGTGCCATCACAGAGGCTGTCGGCGCCGCCGGTGGAAGGGGCGTCGAGGCACTGGTCTGGTGGTGGGGGACCGTTACCTGACCCGGCTGAGTTGTATCCGGAGTATGCGGACGGGGGATGATGATGATAGTGTGCATGGTGGTAGGAGGTTACTGAGGTAGGGTTGTGGATGTGGGGGGAAATACCCAAGTTCTGTGTATATATTTTTGAGCTGAAAGGGCTGGAAGGAATAGAGCCTAGGTGATGTAGATTTTTGTGGTTCAGAGTGTATAGGTAGGTATATACCCCTTTGGAGGGAGATGTGGATATTGCGGCCGGGGGCTTGTTGGATTTAATGCAATACATAGTTGAAATATAGACTTCTGACTTCAAGTATGCGAGTCTTTATTGGCTGCTGTGATTCTGTAACCCGTCCCCCTTTTTCTTTTGTCGTTTAGGAGAAGCGAGTCATTTGAAACCGCGCTTCACGCCCGTAGGCTTCCGCCGAGGGCAGCTCAGCCTTCCTAACCTCAAAAGGTCGGGAATAAGACAAAAAGCGCTATACCTTAGAAGATAGAAGGCAGTCGCTAGTGGTCACTACCCAGCTACAGAGCAACCCATCCGAAGCAACCGAATAATATCTCAATTCAGGAAATCTCTAGAGTTATAGAATTATAGAACCCACATCACTGTCCAGCAGCAGCAGCCTTCGCCGCAAACGCCAAAATATTCTCCAAAACTTGATCATCAGTCTTGTTTCCCTCTCCCTTAATCTTCTCATAAGCGGGAAACAGTATCGTCTTCTCGATCTCGGTGTACTTCCCATCAGCCACATACACCACCTCGCCCTGCCTCTGCTTCGTGGCCATAAGATATACTGCTGCGCGAGCTACAATGAGTGGTGCTTGCGATGGCTGCGAGATTCCGGGCATGATAATGTCCATGCTGGGGACGACACTGGTGGTGGTCCACGATGGCATCAGGGTGTTGATACGCACTGGGACCGAAGCCACGTTGAGGAGGCGGGCGTAGCCGCGGCCGAAGCCGAGGACGCCGTGCTTGGCGGTCGCTGTGTACGTTAGTCCAGCCATCTTCAAATGCCAACTATTCCAAGACCGTGATGGGGTAGGTCGGGGCTTACAGTAATCTGGAGCCCGCAGCGGCTGTAGGCCAGTGCTCGATCCCATCAACACGATGTTACCGCCCTCCGCCTGCGTCTTCATGTAGTGCACACCCAGGACAGCGGTGTTGACAACACCCTTGAGACTAACATCGATTAACTCATGGCTTGGCTCCTGGAGCTCCCCAGCCTCGTCGGCAGCAAGGCTGAGGTAGTCGGCGCGCGGGCCGATGCCAGCGTTCGCAAAGACATAGTCGATGCGGCTGTGGTGCTCGTGGGCGATCTTGAAGAGGGTGCGAAGGTCGGACCAGTTGGCGACGTTGGTTTGGACGAAGGTGAAGGCTGGGGAGGCGGGGGAGTCGGCGGGGGGGTTGATGTCGCCGCTGACTACGGAGGCGCCGAGGGAGAGGAGGAGGGTGACTGTTGCGAGGCCAATGCCTGAGGAACCGCCTGTGGAAGTTGGTTAGTTGGGGGTAAATAGTATCATGGAAATATCGTTCAGCGGTGAAGCGGGAAAGTGGCTGTACCTGTGAGAACGACAACCTTGTCCTTGAGGCTAGTAAGATCCTCGTCTTTGATGAGAAATTCTTCCATATGATGTGCAGTTTGCGAGTAGCTAACTGGATGATAAAAAGCAATCAATTTCTTCTAATCCTGGAAGTAAATAGACAGGAGAAACAATGTCACATAGACAGAGGGAGTCGAGTATGGATATGTCAGGGACCGGGCAAGTGGCTTTAGTTCCGAGATGGGTGGCCCAGGGCTGCGCGCAAATCGATGGTGTATCTCGCCTCATATTTTATATGTGATCGATACATGAGTTTATGCTGTTGTGCACAAATTCTGGGGTCCCATGCTCGATCCACTCACAAAACTTTTGAACATTACCTCCGTAGTCCACCCCAAATGTAACCCTTATTTCGCAGCGCTATAGGTAACAGAACTAGCAGAGCGGAGTATAAAACGGTGTTTTGTGAGTTTTATGGGTAGTATCTCCATGGGGTCTTTACATTTCCACTTCTTGTCGCTTTAGACCGCGGTGTTGAAAACAGCCAGCCCTAGGGGCTTGGCACCAGGACCGCCGGCTTCACCGGTGATCACTAAACTGCTCCCCCGACATCGGTGCAAGGATATCAGAACCCTGTATCATATTACAGTAGAGTCTCGATAAGACGATGTAATCCATCCCTTAGTTCAATATAGTCTTATTGAATATATCGTTCAACTGAATATTACATAATCCACCCATGTAAGGTGCTCTGAATATGGCTATTTACATGTAGGGCCTCTAACTCCTGCTCTAGTCGTTCAATTGCTCTCAAATGAGCTGTTTTCACATCATCTCGACCCTCAGCAAACTCAATTACCACTTGTAGAGCCTGAATAGCCTCTTGTATTGACCGTTTTGGCCTGTTAGGCTGCGCCTCTTCTTCCTCATCTTCATCAATTGTCTGAAAGCCAAGATGCTCTGTTATCACATCCTGTAAGGCCTCCTCAGGATCTACTCATCCTTGTTCACTCTCTGCCTCTAACTCTTGTTCCTCAACCCGATTTAGGAAGCTCGAAATTGCCATAATATCTTGTATATTCCCAGCTCTTTTAACTTGCTCATAAAGACTTGTGATATAGGAGTTGTAACTAGAGTTGACTTCCAGAAACAGTTGTAGATTGTTGTATTTGAGACATAGTTATTCCAACTTCTTAGAATCCAACAAATAGCTAGGTGTAAATCCATTGATTCCCTAGGGTCCTGGTTATTATAATAACACTCGAGCATATATGAGAGCCACTGCCGTCTATAATGAGACTTGAAGCTTTGTATAATTCCTTGATCTAAAGGTTGAAATCGACTTGTCAAGTTCTTTGGAAGCCAACATATTCGTATATTAGGAGGAGGTGGTGTAAATTTGACGGCTGTAAGGTGTGCAGAGAAGTTATCCATTGTTAAAAGGACTGAACGAGTTGTTCCAATGTGATTATAGAAGGCTTGAAGCCATTCAGACATCACAGTTGTATTCATCCAGGCCTTCTTGTTACGGCTAAGTGCTAGTGCTATGGCTAGCGCTTACGGCTGCAACCTCACGTGATGGATAACATTGGATATCATGGATATTATGTTATCCATGTTATCCACGGATATCCCTTTGGCACGACGCCACTATATAAGTAGATAGTATTTCCTTAGATAGGAGCTTCGTGCTCAACTCAATATAGTATTCTTTACAATACTGTAACGTGTTACTTGGAAAGCCTTTGTGTCTAATCCCCTGCCTCCTCTGTCAAGTCAACCTTACGCAAGAAACCTCTGTGCCTTCTATCGTTTAGAAGTCAGCGTTAAAACAGGTGTGGATTAAGAGGATTCCACGCTATATTTAAGAGGTTATTAAACTCAAAGGAGGAAATGGATATAAGGAAGGGGTTAGTGATATATCTACACATGGCAAGGCACGTAGGAACTATTAATTGATTCTCATTTTATGAAGCTATAGGTGTGAGTATCGTGAGTGTTCACTAAGTTAGAATTGGCAGTCTGGAGGAATTTTTTCTCTTAGAATGACGACAATGTATCTCCTAGGTCTAGCGGCATGGTATCCTAATGGATATGTGACTACAAAATATAGGTCTATCTAGAGTCTAATGCTAAGGGAGCTTACTAAGCATAGAGAATGTTATAGGAGACAACTAAGCCTGAAAACTTCAAATAGGTTCTTCTAGCTAAAGACCAGCTGTTGGTATTACCTCCTACTAAAGAATCCAAGGAGTTCCTTTCTACTTTCTACAATTAGTAGAATTCAGTAGCTTAAATACTCTTAATCCCTAGCTTGTTCCTACGAGCTGTAATAGTAATTCCCACACCTAGGAACAGGCATTCTGGCTCTGCTAACATTGCAGGAATTGATAATATATCTAATGCCATAATACTAAGAGCTAGGTAAGTCTTTTGCTAAGTTGCCTCTAACCACTAAGACTAGGGATCGGTGACCTCTAGGAGTACTAAAGTCTAGAGATACTTTGTATATTTGTCAATATTAATGCTAGACCGTTCTCTCTTTTGTTGCCATTATGCAAAGGTGTTCTATGTCCTTTATGCTAATTCTGATAACTGTTAAGTAGACCTATACTCTAACTCCTAAAAATCTCGCATCTTCTCTTACAATCTAATTGCTAGCTTTCTAGCCAATTGCCTTTAATGTACTCCCATTTCCATTATGGACATAATACTAATGCTATAACATAGTAGATAGGCGATCTCTCTATAAGGCTGTAGTATTTGTTTAACTTCGCCTACCCTAAGTTGTAACAGGGACCTATAAATATGTCCTTAGTGTTACGATTATAGCTTACAGCTTGTTACGGTTGTTACAGTTGTTACGGTTGTTACAGGTGCAGCCTTAACCACCAAGGCTACAACCGCTAAGCGGACAACTGTATATTACGAGGAATAGTCTCACCTTCCTTCCTTCTTCTTCTTCTTCTCTCTTTAGATTCAATCTAGCTTATTATTCTCTGGACTGGCTTCTTGACCTCCGTAACCATCGTAACACTTAGTATATACACACTTAGCTTCTTTAAATTTCTTAAGTAGAAAGTCCATTGTTAGCAGAACTCTCTTAATTGTAGCACTATATATACGTAGGATTTGGTAGAAAGAGTAGCATTACTAAAGAATAAAAAAAAGTCCTCTACCTTCTATAGATCCTTCTAATCCTCTAGCGACAATAGATCCTCTTGGTTCTCTTAGTATTGTACTGATAGACATTAATTGCAGCTTTAAGCTTTATAGCAGTACTAATCATCTTATACTATAAGTTCTAGCGAGTTGAATTGTCCTATACAAGGTTGCGGCCTTGACTTAATTCTCTGAAATTAGCTATCCGTTATAGGCTCTGCTAAATATAAGTTACGATGTTTGAGTTACTGCATCTGAGCTACACCATCTCAAGTCACTGCGTTCAAGCTACACCATCTCAGTCACTGCGTTCAAGCTACACCATCTTAATCACTGTGTCAGAGTTACCACGTCTAGATTACTATATCTGAGTCATTATATCCTACTAGATCTCCTACAACATCGCCGCCACCACCAACCCAGCCAAAACAGGCACCATCGTGGCGGCATTCACAGCCGCACCACCAGTCGACGTAGCTTTCGGTGCTCCCGCCGTGCCCGTGCTCTTCGCCGTACCGTTAACCGAAACCGACCCTCCCGAAGGCACCGCCTTGCCATTGACATTGTTCCCGCTAACAGCATCATAGTTGTACACCGCGGTGTAGTTATAAGTCGACTTCTTACCCCCCCAGGTCTTCGTCACAGAGGCCAAAACACCAAGACCGTTGGCGCACTTAGCATCGGTGTTAGGGACGGGCCAGGTCGGGTCGAAGAGATCATCCGACATAGGGCCGGGGTACGAGGAGTTAAAGTACAGGCCCTCGGTGTCCACGACGACATTCTGGTAACCGGTGACGTTGGCGACGGTCTGCAGGACGTTGGCGCCGCAGTCCCAGCGGCCGAGGGAGGGGAGGTCCCAGTTAGCAGACACGCTGGAGATGGTGGAGAAGTGGTTATAAAAGGTGTTGTCTGTCGTGCCGTGGAGGGATTCGGGGACGGCGCCGCCGAGGAGGAGGGTGAAGACCTTGTTACGGGTGGGGTAGGTTTCGACTTCGTCGAAGGAGAGGATGATGAGGGTGTTGTTCATGAAGTAGTCGTTGGCAAGGAGGGGGGTGAGGAACTTCTTGGACCAGGTGGAGGCGTAGGTGATAGTGCTGTCGTGGCCGTCGTTGGTCATGTTAGGGGTGATGAAGGACCATTGCGGGAGCTTCTTGTTCTTGAGCTCGGTCTCGAAGTCTACGAAGCTCTTGATCGTGCCGAGGCGGGTGGAGTTGGAGGTGATGGACTCGTAGAGCGCGAGGGGGTTGTGCTTGCGGACGTAGTCGTTGGCGAAGGTGGCTTGGTTGGAGTAGTTGAAGCCGAGGAAGCCGGTGTAGGGGAGGTGCTCCTGGTAGGTGCCGAAGGAGATGCCCTTGGTGTCGAGGAGGTCGATGACGGTGGACACATTCGATGGGAACGTGAGGAAGGCGTCTCCATCCATTCCGAAATAGTCGCCGCCGATGACAGCGGCGTAGTTGGGCTCGGAGGGGTGGGTCACGGCGTTGTAGTTGGTCAGCGTGATGGCCTGCTTGGCAAGCTCCTTCATGCTTGGGTCGTTGGCAGCGAGGGCATAGTCCTAGTGATGTCAGTGAGGTGCTGTTGAAGGATGGCAGGGCAACTCACAGTGTTCTCGAGCCAGATCTGGACGATACGGTCGAACCCCTTACCCTTCACGTCAGAGGTGAGGACAACGGGCGTTGCGGAGGCGGCGAGAGCAGAGATAGCAGTAGCCGCTGGCTCGATGGTCGACACAGCAGGGCGACTGGCCGAAGCAGCCAGAGCCACATTGGCGCCGGCGAGGGCGAGGACAGCACCGAAGAACATGGTTCAATGGACGTGAGGGGGGTCTTCGATTTAGGTTCGGGGAAGGGCTGTGAGGAGTGAAGGAAGAGGGACAGGCGACACAGAGGATGCAGGGCGCCGATCTTTATATGAGGAGAGGAGTAGCAGTACCCATTGGGGAATTTGGAGAAGGGCGTGAAGGGCGTGATAGAATAATCACCAAGGTTGAATTGTGCTAGACAGTTCCCCGATCCGCCTCCCCACTTTGACCCCTGTCACGCTAGAGTCTGCAAGGTCTAGGCTTAGCGCGGGCCGTTGGTTGATAGGAACGGAGGAACGGGGCAGTCATTCAGGCACATGTCCAATCCCGAAGCGAGGATTGGTTATTGTCAGACGCTGCGAGTTGTTTAATGGAGCGTGAGAAAAGTGTTCTCTCGGTGAGAACGAAGAGTGTTTTTACTGGCACGAAATAGCAAAACAAGCCTCGCCGAGCTCTGGACGTCCTGGGCATTGTGTCCAATCTTGGGTTTCCCGTCTTGTCTTGGTGCTTGTCTCTCCTTGGCGATCGTCCACCTTGCCAAACCCCCTGTGATGTTTCTGCACGAAGAGGAAGGCGCCATCAACAAAACTAACCCTCATCGCTCTCATAGCTCCTCCCACCCCAGCGTCCGCCCCTTCCTATCCCCGCTCCTTCCCGTTCAATCCGCTCCACGTGCGGCTGCCGGTCCCTCTCTTTCGTTTTCTATCCTCCCTGCCATTCTTTCGACCTTCCCTTCCTTCAACGTTACATGCGTCCAGCATATTCGCTTTACTTGCACTTGTCGGCGCTCTGACTAGCCCCCCTGGTATCCATAATACGAGTAGTGCTTCTTTGCATCTTTTCTTTTTTTCTTCTAGCCCTTCGACTCTAGCTTCTGCTGCACCGTGTTATCTTCTTATTCCCTCGTGCTCTGGCGCCGAGCCTTGGCCTTCCTCTTGAATGGTCTAGCTGCTCCCCTTCCATTTCATGGACGTTCTCGTCGACATGATAGACAGAGCAGCCAGAACAACCGTCGATCATAGCCAACAATCCCGCTTGTCTCCAGCTCCAGCAACTATGGCGCCTCCCGAAACGGCGAGTGCCGCTACTCCCAAGGATACCTTCTACAACGACCAGCTGCCGCCTCCGCCTCCCGCGAAACGTCGCCATGTCTTCTTTTGGGCTGTTTTGAGCATTGTATTGTTTATAGTCCTCGGTCTTGGGCTCGGCGTGGGCCTCGGGTTGGGTCTGCACAAGCCGGCTCGGGGTTTCTCATCTCCGGCCACTGGCTCCGATTGCCCGTGTTCAGCTTGTCCCTGTGTGGTTGAAGATCCCCGCCCGGATATACCAGCGAATTTGCCGCCATGGCGTCTTCCGGATGAGGAGTATCACCTGAGTATGGATTGGGATATCCATGCTCCTCCTACCACTCGAGTGTACAATTTCACTGTGGAGGAGATCCAGGCTGCTCCCGATGGTATGCCAATCTCCTCTCTGCTCACCACCTGAGTTACTAATATCTGCAGGTGTTCTCCGCAATATGATTACCATCAATGGGAAGTTTCCTGGTCCGATGATCCGTGCAAACAAAGGAGACCGGATCAAGGTCCACGTCACGAATGAGCTCCGCGAGCCCACATCTATCCACTGGCACGGTATGTTCCAGTATGGTTCCAACTGGATGGATGGCACATCAGGCATATCACAGTGCCCTATCCCACCAGGACGTAGCTTCACGTATGATTTCTTGGTTGACGGCCAATACGGCTCGTACTGGTATCATTCCCACTACTCAACTCAATATACAGACGGCATGGTTGGACCACTCATCATTCACGCTCCAGAAGAGGCGGAAGTACGCAAGCTTTACGACCATGATGAGGTGATAATGCTCCAAGATTGGTATCATGACGTGAGCAAAGATCTTTTGCCAGCGTACCTCGCTTCAGGGAATGAGAACAAAGAGCCAACTCCAGATAATGGATTGATACAGGGAACGAATATGTGAGTTTGCCGTTTGGTCCCTGACAGTGCCAAAGACTAACACCAGCAGATTCGACTGCTCCAAGTATGACAAATCCAGCAACCGCACGTGTGAGCGTAACTCGACAAGAGCAGTCTTCGGGGTTAGCAAGGGCTCGCGTTACCGCTATCGACTCATCAACGTCGGGGCATTTGCTGGATTCTATTTCTCGGTGGATAACCACACTATAACCGTCATTGAGGCAGACGCCACATTGGTTGAGCCCGTTGAGACCCACCGCATATCAATTAACATCGCGCAGCGCTACTCGGTCATCGTACACGCCAACCAGCCTGAGGCGAACTACTTCATCCGCTCAGACATGATAACAACATGCTTCGCCCAGCCCAACCCCGTCCTCGACCCCCTCGCCCTCGCCGTACTCTCGTATACCGAGACGACTGATACCCCCACAAGCGTCGACTGGGACCCGAGCGAGGCTACTGTCTGTCAGGACTTCAACAGCACCCTCCTCAGACCGAGCGAGGTAGTTTCCGCGCCTCCTGCTGACGTCCTCTATTACTTCACGGCCTCCTTCCAGATCGGGGCGTACGCTCTCGACCGCGCCTTCTTCAACGACACCACCTGGACGTCCGCTAACATCCCAACCATCAACCAAGCCATCGACGGAATCAACAATGTGTCCACTGCTCACCTGTTTTCGGCAGATGGAGTCAGCTCAGGCTTCTCAGACAACCAACTCGTCGTCTCCGTCCCGAAAGGCCGGGTTGTCGATTTCCTCGTCCAGAGCTTGGATGATGGGGCGCACCCCTTCCACCTCCATGGTCATGAGTTCTGGGTCATGGCGCAGAGCCCGGTGCCCGCCACTACGGGCTATTTCCCCTGGGAGACCTATGGCAGTCTCAACACAGCGAATCCGCTCCGTAGGGATACGCTGACAATTGGCCCATTTGGGTGGGCGCTGCTCAGGTTCGAGGCTGATCATGAGGGATTGTGGCCGTTTCATTGTCATATTGCTTGGCATATGGAGGCGGGGCTGCTGATGCAGTTTATGACCGGAGCGCATGAGTTGGCGAAGATCGGTATTCCAGACGATGTGAGGGAATTGTGCGATGTTTAATTCGTGATGCGTGCGTCCGACGTTTGGGCGTGTGCCTAAATCGGGGAGATTAATGGGAGTTTGTCGATGGGAATAACGATAATGATGATCAAAACGGGGGAGTCTGTATTCATTATGCGTGGAGTTTCGTTTTGGGTTTTTGTTTTTTGGTTAGAATTGCCTGCGCTGGCGTACGAACCGGGCATCAATCAGTATTGGGAGTTTTGTGTTTACAACGTTGCGATTCATGGTAGCGATAGGAGTATACGGTAGATCAGGAAGCGGGACTATTATTATTCTAGGCCCTTCCATTAATCACAGTTCCTAGCACAATGGCCCTTTCCTATGTCACGAAGGAACTCGACTGACTTGGTGTACTACAAACACTGTGAATACCAGTCATTCGAGTATTTGCAAGTGAATGGGCTTTGGCAAGCCGTCGCACTTGTATAACCTATCTCCCCACATTGTCCATACCTTACCGGGGTCCCAGCCAAATTTTTAAGAGTAGTGGCACCGTTCTGTGACCGTGAAATTGGGTAAACGGTGGCCTGAAAATAAAGGTTGAAGCACCGCTGGCACACGGCCACCCAAAGCTCACGGTTTGGAGTTCCAATTGTTTCCACCGAAAATACCCACAGAAGCCACAATGATCTTACTCTTGATCAGGAGATCAATCTTAGTAGGGGGGGGTAGTGTTACGATTACAGCTCACAGCTTGTTACGGTTATTACGGTTGTTATAGGTATAAGGGGATTACGGGTGCAGCCTTAGCCACCAAGGCTACAACCGTCGGACTGGCCTCGTTCGGACTGGCTGGACTTATAGTTGGCAATGTGAGGAATCATATACGACCATCAACTCAAGAGAGTTGGGCATCCCCGTCCGCACTCCATATACAAGCTTGTAATACAGGCTTAGTACTCTCAATCGCGCCAACAGGTATAGCGTGGAATCCTGCCCTCTTGTCGACTAGGGTTGTCATAGCATCGGAGCTGCACACCCGCCACGGCACCCGAGCATTACCACAAGGACAAAAGCTTATGTGACTAGATTTCGTGCGCCGGCCTTCCTATTCCATCTTTTTGCCGTTACAGTGGAGGGCATACCCTAGCTGAATGCAGGACGACTCCCGATCTCGTTCGCGCGCCGGCCTTCCTATTTCATATGTTTACGGCTCTAGTGGCGGGCAGACCCTACCTAAATGGATGACAGCTTCCGATGTCTTGTGGTGGAAAGGCTTAAGCGATTTCGATTGTCTCTCAATAACGGATTTCATTGCTATAGCTTCAAAAATACTTGAAGAGTAACTATCCAGGACGTCAGTCGAAATACTGCCCAGTAGGCAAAGTTCACCGTGCAAAAGGTGTGTGTCAAGTATACGCTCTTTTGAAAAGAGGCTGACAATCACAGGCTTGCAAAATAGGCTCCAAAAGATTGCGCCAACCATCTTAACCGCACCTTGCTCCAGCAGACGATATGTTGTTAATTATCTGTGCGCGGGGATACTCGGCCAATTTGGGTGGGTTTCCCCGACTGACAAGAAGTATCGCACAGAGTAGCCCAGCTTTAGACAAACGAGCTGTACAGTATAAGGCTACCTCCTTCTTCATAGAGCCAAGATAGTCCTGTAATTTGCTTTTTGAAATAACCGAGTTCGTGTGCTGCTCCGTTGGTTTCAGGTTCAATTTCCGACAGCTTAGATCAAGCCTTTCTTTATCTAGTCATCATGAAGATCAATCATGAAGATCATGATACCTTCAAAATTATGTGCTATTATCTATGCTAGTGTCATTTAGGAAAGTAATTCGTATTGCTTTATAACTTCGTGAAGTGACTAGTCCTCGGATCTTGGATATAAAACATAGACAACTTCCCTCGACGTATGTAGAATGAATAGACATCTTGCCCCGATTTCCAAGACCCATTTCGGATTCCAATTATGCGTCAATCTATCATCCTTGCGCTCTCTGCCATTGCAGGCGTCTTCGCCGCACCAGCCACCTACAATGCACGCGGCAATTCCAGCGTCCAGGGGCAAGGAGACTTTTTCTGGGGCGGAGCCGTCCAAGAAGGCACCGGCTGGAACTTTGTCCAAGGCAGCGTAGTCGTCCCCAACTTCAGCGGCGGGGACCCCCACCAGTCCGCAAACATGTGGGTCGGAATCGACGGCCGATACTGCTCAAGCGCCATCCTGCAGACCGGCCTTGTCGTCTACGGCGATGGCTCCTTCTGGCTATGGACGGAGTGGTGGAAGAATTTGATGCAGGACTATCAGAGCGGTCTTACTTTTGCACCTGGTGATACGTTGCGCTTCACGGTGCATTCTACGAGCTATACATCTGGCAGCACGACGGTGGAGAACTTGAGCAATGGGCAGCAGGTCTCGCAGACTTACACGAGCGAGACGGACTATCCGCTTTGCGAGACGGATGCGGAATGGATCCTTGAGGACTGGACGCAGGATGGCCAGCCGGTGCCGCTTTATAACTGGGGTACTATTAGTATTTTCGACACAGTTGCGAGGAACCCTAATCGTCAGGTCACTGCTGCTGGGGCTGACATTGTTAATATCAACATCAATGGGTATACTCTTACCGAGAGCAATGTTCAGTCTGACGGTACTGTCAGCGTCACTTACATTGGGCCCAATTAGGATTGGCTGTTCGGGATAAGATAGAGTGTGCGAGGGTAGTGGAATATAAGTCTCGGTGTCTTGTTTCCATTCTCCATAATTCACATGTGAGCCATGAGTCCGAACGTGTGTCGAGTAATCGATGGGGTACGGAGATTCACAGCTAATTTAGTATGTAAATCCCCAATCACCGTAAATCAGTCTCTTGGCGCACCGGAACAGAAGCCTCACAGTAAATCCAGATTTTTTATTTTACTATAGGCCTCAGGGGAAGCCCCGAAACCCTGACAAACTGGGGGTTCTTCAGCTCTAGCTGTGATGGAATTCGGTGGCCGCATAAGGCCTACACCACGCGAGGAGCTTATCACTTTAGTTACGGAGACCTTCCAGTACAACATGACGATGATTCAGAAGAGCCTGTAATTCCTGATATAGCAATGGCTTCAAACGCAGCAACGACTTCGGATGCTCAAACAAAGGTGTTTTGTACTCTGGACATTCTTGTGATCATTCCATCGCAGCTTCCTCACTCGTCCTTGCTCGAAGCCAAACTGGTCGATAACATGGAAATCCAAGCTTCTTTATTTGAGTGTCCCAGGCCTAAAGAATCGGCTCTGTATACGGAAACATATTCGGATCTATTGATGGATAAGTTCTTGGCTCCTTGGCCAATCAGCGAAGATGAATATGCAGACAAGCATCTCAGCTGGCAATGGCGACAACTTCTTGTTTGCCAACCACCATTGAAGTTCTAGAGATTGTTCAAGAGGTCAACCAGCGTTTTGGCGGTACTTTGGAATTTCGAACTATTATTCCTCAACCCAACGGTTTGCAGGATGGGGTTTCTTTTTGATGCTGTTAGACATTGGCATCAAGTGGAGAGAAGCCCTGTCGAGCTACTTTGGAATAGGAAAACTGGGGACCTTACCGATAGTAAGCATTATTTTCCAGATGGCCCTGGTTACAAGACGTCTGGTGACAAGCCTTGCGTAACTATCTGGGGACAGAAGGTGTAGGATGTGGGCATAATGGAAGTTTGTAGCAGAGTTTTTTCCTAGATACAACCAGCCTCAGGTTTAGACAAATGGATTATCAAGGCTTTAAAAAATGGTATTTATTTATTTCTGGGTAACGTACATGTATAGCGAAAGCGCCAAACAAGCGAAAGCGCCAAAATGATGCGGTGACCAAACCCCCCAACTAAATGTTAAATTCCTCAACAACAAAACATGCCCCATAAAAACGATGAAAGCCAATTAGTGCTAGCTATCCAGGCTATGCAAAGCGACCCAAAGTTACGCCTTCGAGTTGCTGCTAGGATCTATTCTGTGGACCACCGCAAGCTAGGTCGTCGTCTAGAAGGTGTACCTTCACGACGCGATATCCAAGCCAACTCACGGAAATTAACTAACCTAGAGGAGTCCGTCCTTGTTCAGTATATACTCGACCTAGCTGCCAAAGGGTTTCCTCCTCGGCTGTCTGTTGTTGAAGATATGGCAAGTCGACTACTTGCAACACGCGACGCGTCACGCGTTGGGTCGCGTTGGGCTTCAAACTTTGTTAAGCAGCGTGTAGAGCTCCAGACACGCTTTCAGCGCAAATACGACTACCAGAGGGCTAAGTGCGAAGATCCAGAAGTTATTAATGGCTGGTTTGAGCTTGTGCGTAACACAATTGCGAAATATGGTATCGATGAAGCAGATATCTACAACTTTGATGAGACTGGGTTTATGATGGGCGTTATCTCAACTGCTATGGTTGTAACAAGCTCAGACGGGCGGGCAAAAGCAAAGAAGGTACAGCCTGGTAATCGGGAATGGGTTACAGTAATCCAAGGCGTTAGTTCTCAAGGTTGGGCAGTACCACCATTTATCATTGTTGCAGGCAAAAACCACCTTACATCTTGGTATGAGAATAGTGGATTTTCAAGCGATTGGGTGATTTCTGTTACTGAAAATGGCTGGACTACAAACGAGAGAGGCATGGATTGGATTCAGCACTTTGAGAAGCATACAAAGGCCCGGAGTGTTGGTGGTTATCGCTTGTTAGTCCTTGATGGTCATGAGAGCCACCACTCAGATGAGTTTGAGGAGTACTGCAAGGAACACAACATTATTACGCTTTGTATGCCTGCTCACTCTTCTCATCTACTCCAGCCACTTGATGTTGGCTGTTTCGGCCCGTTAAAGCAGGCCTATGGTCGGCAAATTGAAGATATGATGCAGGCTCATATTTCTCATATTACAAAGGATGACTTCTTTCCTGCCTTCCACGCTGCATTTAACACTACAATGACGGAAAGTAACATTTGAGGCGGGTTCCGAGGGGCAGGGCTTCTTCCATTTGACCCTGAGAGAGTGATATCTACACTTGATCTTAAGTTAAGGACACCAACGCCTCCAAGCTCCCGCCCAGGTACTGCTCAACCTTGGGTTTCTCAGACACCAAACAACCCAATTGAAGCTATGTCACAGTCTACATTTATTAAAACTCGGATTTCACGCCATCAAAATAGCTCTCCAACCTCAATCTATGCAGCTGTTGACCAGTTTACAAAGGGTGCATCGCAAATAATGCATCAATTAGCACTGCTAAAGGGAGAGAACCAAAACCTACGACAGGCAAATGAAGTACTAAGCAAGCGCCGGAGAGCTAGGAAAACACGACTGCAGCAAGGAGGATCACTTAGTCAACAAGGGGCGCAAGAGCTACAGGATGAGAGGGATGTTGTGCAGCAGGTAGAGCAGGAAATAAGGGCAAGCCGTGGTCGGAAGCCAAGGGAAGAAACCCGTGCCCGTCGCTGTGGCAAGTGTGGTGAGACTGGGCACAATGCGCGCACGTGTCAGATTGTAATAGACACCTCTGAGGAAGAGGACTCTGAGTAGTTTCAATTGATTTCTAATGTTGTGGTAGATTTATCGCAATGTTTGTCGTGAGGGTAGATAATTTTGGCGCTTTCGCTTGTTTGGCGCTTTCGCTATACATGTACGTTAGATTGATTGGATAAATATTTCATCAAAATCGGCGTCGCTCACCCAAGACGTCTCACACCGGTCGGATCCTCCCGAGCCTTCCTTCGGCCCGGTAGTCTGTCCTGGCTGTCACTTATTATTTTAGGGCAAAAGAATTATAATCCCTGTTACACTAAACTATCGAATTATATACCCTGTTACACTAAGTGATGCCTGCAAGCCCCCAATTACCCCTGCCACCCCAATTTTGCCCCGGTCTCTCACTGACCAGAACCTTGTCGTCGCCGCCCCAGCTCTCAGATGTGAGGCTGTTTACAGGTCCTGGAGTTGTGCTGAAACCCGCCGCAATTCTTACAGCGGGAGGGACGCACAAGGAGCACACCGTCGACCTCAATGATGTCTGCTAGCGGGCGGACATCGTCCTGATTCAGGCCACGCTTCCCGCGGCAGTTCTCCTTCCGAATCCGCTCCTTCTTCGGCCTTCCTCGCGGCACTCGGGTCATCGGAGGCAGACATCTGTCTGTCTCTAGAGCGACGAGGTCCTGGATGAGGACGGGCGGGAGAGGAGAGGTGTATTGATGCCGAAGCGCCTCAATCGAGAGGGCGGAGGGGAGGAAGGGCTTAAGAGCAAGTTTTTGGTGGAAGATCACGCTCACGGCATGCCCGCAGGGCACTCCGTGAGCTTGATATCGACGGCAGGTACACGTTCCTACTGTTAAGTCAACAATGTGCACCCTATTATTAGGCTGCACAACCCTCGCCACCGTTGGCGAGGATGGCAGCACCTATAGATAGTTAGTATAGTGAGAATATAAGAAGATTTGACTTACCTTGTTGCCTCCAGCCCATCTCTTTCCCTCTCTTGGATGATTCCTGCACAATAGGATGTCCACAACATCCAGTCCTTCTCCTGTTTGATGGCTGCTGTAATGACACAGGGCACCCAGCTCACAGTAATAGCATATGAGAGTGCGAGTCGGAGGCTAAACAGATGCTATCCTATAGGTCTACTACGAAGGATACAAAAAAGATGATGGGGGAACCCCGTGAGTCGATTGTCTCAAGTACCCGAAACCCATCTGACTCGGTTCCGACTCGGTGTAACGCTGACTTCTAAATGATAGAAGACACAGAGGTTTCTTGCGTAAGGTTGACTTGACAGAGGAGGCAGGAGATTAGACACAAAGGCTTTCCAAGTAACACGTTACAGTATTGTAAAGAATACTATATTGAGTTGAGCACGAAGCTCCTATCTAAGGAAATACTATCTACTTATATAGTGGCGTCGTGCCTCATGGGTAATCTGGATAGTTGGAGGATGGCTAGATATTCAGGATAGTTCGTGGATAGCTAAACTATCTAATATCCACTAGTTTCTGCAACTATCCATTAGCCCCGTCACATGGCAGCCTACCCCGCTTCCCACTGTGACTCACACGTCACGTTACTAGGCCCTGGCCCTGTAACCATGACATCATGTTACTATAGCCGTAACACTCGGTTAGCCCACCCAAATGATCACACGTGACCCCGCAGCTACCCAGAGTCTACTCCCTAGAATGAGAGACGAGAAGGCATCCTTACAGCAGCGAGCCTGTCGGCTCGGTGCTCCATCACTCGATGCCAAATGGCATCTAGAAGCTCTACAATTGGAAGCTCTCGGTCGAGCTTTAGCGTCCGGTTAACGCTCTCAACAATGTTGCTAGTGTCATGGCCGTATCAACGACCACGAAAGAGAGCCTCCGCCCATGTCTCTGGAGCCGCCGCAAGGTACTCAGCTGCAGAGACCTTAACGTCTCGCAGCTTCTGTAGGGCAGCGTGGTAGGCGTCGACCGTGCGAGCACGGGCGATGGCCCAGAACATTGGGACAAGGCCCCTCCCATGCTTCTCTACGAAGTTCTCCTTTAAGTGGTGACAGCAATGTGATGCTACCACCGTTGGGCCTAAAGCAGCTTCCGCAGCGAGAAGGCCCTTGTCTCTGTCCGAGACTAAGGTACACTCCTCCATCGAGATCGTAGGAATGGCTCTCTGAAGATGCCGGAAGAACCACTCCCACAAGTCTCGATTCTCCGACTCCACTACCCCCCAAGCTAGTATTGTGTTGTG